AGTTCATAGATGGACCTCTAAAACTCGGATCCGACATTGAACCTGTCCAGTACAACTGTCCTGCTACACGGTCCGATCATGCACCCGTAAACTGTCTGCTACAACGGTCCGACCATGACCCCCATAAACTGTCTACTACATCGGTCCTGTACACGACCACACAGTGCCTGCTACAAATCGGTCCGACATGACCTATCGTAAACTGGTCCCTGACCTAACATTCGGTCCGACATGACCTCCGAAACTGTACCTGCTACATCGGTTCACGCATGACCCGTAAACTGTCTGCATAGCAGACGGTCCGACATGACCCCGTTAACTGTCCTTCTACAACGGTCCGACAATGAACTCCATCAAACTGTCTTCTAACATCGGCTCTGACACGACACACAGTGTTGCTACAAACGGTCCGACATGTAGAATACCGTGTCTTCCTATCCTGTTTTATTTATTTATTCAGTATATTTTTCGTATTTTGTTACTCTCTCCAAAACTCAAGTCTGGCTGAGACCTATCTCCCTGAGTTTGAGGGGGGGCTGTTTAATGTAAAAGTAAATTGTAAATGTAAACTTACCACCCACGCCTACCACTCCACTACACCCCACTCCCCTACCACCTCCACTACCACCATCACCTACTACCATCCTTCTCCCTAATATATACTGGAATTGTAATATACAGATAAATATCAATTCAAATAACATCAATCAATAAATACAGTCATATTTGTTAAATCAGTTCTGGTGCTATCGCTGGACCAGTTCGGTTAACGTCTCTACCTAGACTTTTGGGTGTGGAGGGGCCTGTTTGTTTGTTGTTATGGATTTCTGATTAGTTTCAGTTGTTCTCATGGTGGACACTCATCTGGGCTTGCGCAGTTCCGGAGTCGCTTTTTTCTTCTGCGAGCTTACTGGTGTCGGCATGGTGTGGTTGAATTCTCTGCCTACAGGTGATTCTTTCTGGCGTATAGTGCTTGGAGTGACAAGGGCTTCCCCGTAATAATTCTCTGCTCTGGTTTTGTTCTCCTCCGGCGTTTTTTGCCGGCGTGATTGTGCGGTGTGTTGCTGCCTTGGTCTACTCCGGTCTACTCTACGAGCTTGTATCCAGTATTGGAGTTGTTTGCGGGTTGGATGCCTATATCACTTCGGCAATGGTCGGAAATGGGTGCTTTGGTCCAGTTGTTTTCCAGTTTTGGTTCATGGCGGTTGTGTTCATGCCCAGGCAGTTTTCTGGGTGGTCTGTTGTATGGCACCAGCCTGGTGTTGGTGGCCTCATTGGAGGTTTGTGTTCGCCGGCGATCTTGTGCAGGTGGTGTGTTGTCATTGCCTCAAGGGCTCGCTGGTATGATTTTGCTTCGGCTTGTCTTTGCATAGGGCTACATGCCGTAAGGGTTTTTGTTTTACCTGGCATTGGGTTGCTATCCAGCGCCGGTGTTCTTGGTGGTATAGTTTCTTAGCGTCGTTAATGGAGCTATGCAGTGGTCTCCAATTTTTGCCGCCGTCGTCGGGGATGAGGTGTAAGCTGGGCGTGACAGTCAGTCCGATGGAGTGAGCTGGTTCTTTTCTGTTCCAGCGCAAGGTTAACGAGTTTCCGATGATGGTTTTTTTTTCCGGCGTCGATGCTATTGTGTGGGAGGAGGTGTAATCCACGCTCCCTTTTGTGTACAAATCTGTCTGGTGGGGCCGTGTGTGGGTACGCGCACATTGGGCAGTGCATTTCCTGCATTTGCGTGGGTTCCGTGTAATGGGAGTTGTCTAGGCAGCTGTTTTATCTCTGCTAGACATTGGGAAAGAGGATTCACGTGGGTAAAATCTGGCCCACGGTTTTGTTTTAAAACCAGTACTTGGTTTTAAAATTATGGTTTTGAGTTGAGGTGGGTGTTCCTAGTCCCCACATGGAGCTTGGTTAAAAGGTTGTGGTTGACCCACGTATCTTTTTTGGTGGGTCCAGCCACTTAAAATTTGTTTGATCAGCCGTGGTTTATTTTGTTGTCAATTTGATTGTTTTAGTCACGGAGTGCTGTGACGTGTTTAATTGTTTTATTTGAATTTCTTTTTGTATAAATTGTCCATATATCTATTCATCTATTATCTATTCGATGATAGTAAGTACTTGGGGACCAATTGATAATTGGACAATTTTATATTTATTTTGGTTTTATTTTAGTTTTAATCAGTTATTTGTATTAGTTCCCCCCTTTTTTTTGGGGGGGAGATGCGGATTTGTTGTATTACCTGAGGTATGCCCCTTGTAAATGTGTAAATTTTGTCTTTAATTTATGACTTATCCACCCAAAAAAGACCAAGGGTTGCATGTATTTGGATTATAAATTTTATTCATGAAAGATGCAACAATTTATAGTGAAGTTTTTAGGAAGCAATGAACTCCTACATGTTGGGGTTTATAGCATTCTGTTTGTCCTAGTAATAGTATTGAGTAAAGATTCAGGGGATCTCTAAAACCAGTTTGACATTCTGTGTGATATGGGAGGGCCCTATGTACACGGGCAGCAGGTGGCCACACTATGACCTCCCGTAAGAGTTTGAGACTCAAATTTGCTTCTCAAGGAATTTTTGACTTTTTGGTTACCCAGTCTGTGGTTTTTAAATTTAACTATATTGATTTTTTGTTTTTCTCAATATTCAATATGTATTTTATCTTCTATTTATTTTTCCACTTTTACATTCTGTTGGGTTGAAAATGAAGTGCTGCAATCAATTTTATAAATGGGATGATAGTGTTGGAGAAAATACCAGAAACTAAACAATATTTTATTTTTCCACTTTTACATTCTGTTGGGTTGAAAATGAAGTGCTGCAATCAGTTTTATAAATGGGATGATAGAAATAAAGATTTAGAGTCTGCAGTGATCAGTTCTATTCTTCTTTTGTTTCCTCTTATTGTGGGGATTTTTTATAGGCTTGGTGCCATTCATCATGTCAGGTTAGGAAAGGGGTCAAACAATGCATATCAAGCTCCTCAACACCCTCCTTCATGTATGATATTGTCTTGCATGTGGAGATGAAAACATTCAAACATGCACAGAAACATAATTGAATTGGGGAAACAAATGTAAACGGAGATATATACACCCAAGACATCTCCTACCCTGAGCTCATATATCATATTATAGCATCACTAATTCCAAAATATTAAGTTGTTAGGAAAGGAACCCAAGAATGGCCCCGTTTGGTAGAGCTGTCGAAAAGTGATTATAGATTATAACTTAACAGATTATGACTTATAACTGAGAATATAAGCTGTTAACCTGTTTGGTGTAGCTGTGGAATTATGGATTTAAGCAGCAGAGTAGTGTTTGGTTAATAAGCTGTAAAATAGTTTTTTACTGTATAATTGTTCTTTCTACCCTTATATGATATAAAAATGATTATTTTGTCATTTTTTTCAGTTTTAATTTAAAAAAAATATATATTTCATTAATAAAAGTTAATATAAGTAGTATTAATTAGTATCAATTAATATAAAAATTGATACATTTGCTAAAAATGTAATGAAAGTATTATTGTCACAATTATTTTCCATTATAAATTAATTAGTATCAATTAATACTAAAATTATTAATTAGTCTCAATTAATATTAAAATTATTAATTAGTATAAATTAATATTACCATCTAATTTTTATTAGTATCAATTAATATTAATAATCAACAATTGTTATTAATTAGTATAAATTAATAATTAATTCATTACAAAAGTATACAATATTAATTTATTAATAATTAATACCAATTAATATTGATTTTTTTAATTAATATTGATTTTTTCTTTTTTAATTAATATTAATATTTGGGTATTGATGAGGGGCATTTAAGTAATTTTGGCCTCCTGCACTAACTGCGTACTTAAGTCAAAAATTGAAGCACCCCTGACCAGTTTTTGAGATAAGCTGAGAAATAGCTTGATTTAAGTTATAATTTGGTTAACTTAAGTTGCACCAAACACAATATTTTAGCTTAAATTAAACTAAAAACTGAAATAAACAGCTTATAAGCTCTACCAAACAGGCCTTTTAATTGGGAAGGGTGATTCTACACAACAATTTCAACTCATTACGCCCTCATTTTTGATATTTTTTTATTACTATTTTATCCTTTTATAAAATTGCAGATTAACCCTCTAACCCTAAAAATTCAACAAACAACTTTCTCACGCCACTCACCATTCCCCACCACTGCTATCTCACCTCCGGCAACCCTCTTCCACCACCGGCCGGCTATCTTCCAACTCCGACAGCCCTTTCCCAATGCCGACAACCCTCTTCCACCCCTCTCCTACCTCCCCATCCCCTCAGAAACCCTTCCCTTACCTCTGAAAACCCTTCTCCTTCCCAGAACCGCCATCCAGGTCAGCCCTTCCTCTCTGTGAATTTTGATTCTTTTTCTTCTCTTCCTCTTCCGCTACTATCCAGATCTGAAACTTCTCTCTTTTGGGTGTATGATGCATACTAAAAAAGGAATGCCACTCTCTTGATTTTTATGTGTAGTCTAGTTCTAAATTACATACCCTCAAATGTAATGATGTACAAATATAAAAGTTAACCAAATTAAAGAAGAAGAAAAAAAGAGAGATTAACAAAGTGATTTATTATTTCAAAAGTTATATGATCACATTCGTTAATTTTTTTTATATGATTACAAACTATTTTTCAAGATTTATTTTTGTGCCCAAGTAGGGGCATTAACACACATTTAAAGAGATGTGTATTATAACATTTATCTGTGCGTTATCATTTATTCAAGTAACAACAATATAATCACTTGAACATCAAGCAAATACAACAGTTGAATATCAACTTTTCCATATCTTGCATTTGAATTTTTTAACTCTTTCATTCCTCACATTTCGAACACGCCAACTCTCATTTCATTCTCTTCTATAAAAAGGAAAGTCACCAACCAGATACGATCCCTAATACCTCAATATCCACATTAAATAAAAAAGAAAGAAAAAAAAAAACACACACGCACACACACATTAATGGCGATCAAGCTTGCATTAATCTTGATATTCATGTCCTTCTCTTCCCTCTCTCAAGCCCTATCAAATGAAACTGTCACCAACATCAACTACTGGTGCAACACCACTCCTCATCCAGAATCTTGCAGGATCTTCATGGGAGGCCAGCACAGTTTTGTACCAAAATCTAAACCAGACTTTAGAACGATGGCAGTGGAAGCAGCCATGGAACGAGCCCTTTACGCGCAGACTCATGCAAAGGAACTGGGTCAACATTGTCATAGCAAGCATGCCAAGGCTGCATGGTTGGACTGCTCAAAACTCTTCGACGACACAGTTCTCCAACTCAACCGGACCTTACAAGGCCTACAAAACAATGCCAGCGATTTCGATGCTCAAACATGGCTCAGCGCTGCCCTAACAAATCTTGAAACTTGTCGAGCAGGGTCTCTTGAGCTGAATGTCTCGGATTTCATATCTTCAATCTTATCGAATAATGTTTCTGAGCTAATCAGCAATAGCTTGGCGATCAATGGGGCTTTTCTTGCCCAACAAGATGCCCAAAGCGGGTACCCGAGTTGGATTTTGGATGGTGAAAGACAGCTGTTGAAATCTTCGTCGTTGGCTTCTCAGGCTAATTTTATTGTTGCTAAAGATGGGTCAGGAAATTTTCGATCTATCCAAGCTGCGATTAACTCTGCAGTATCGAAGAGAACTGGGAATGGAAGGATAATCATATATGTGAAAAAAGGTATTTATAGGGAGAATATTGAGATAAGCAGCAACATGAATGAGATCACTTTAGTTGGAGATGGGTTGAGATATACAGTAATCACAGGCAGCCGGAGTGCTACGACAGGGTTCACAACTTACAGCTCTGCTACTGTTGGTAAGGGACCTCTCTCTCTCTCTCTCCTTGCTGCTTTGTTTCTCTGAGTTAATTCACATATAAATTAACTATCTACAAGAGAAATGTTCTCTAAACAAAATTGTTATTACTCGAAAATGATTGGCAAGGACATTTTTTAGGCTAAAAGACACATTGATGGTCCTTGATTTTGAAGTTATTGGAGGAAACCAACAAAATTCTGTGTAAAATGCTATAGAAATTTGAGACAATTACCCGATAGTGGTGTGAGATAAAAAATAATGAATAAATAAATAAATTACAAATTAATCAAAAAATTGGTTTAGGGATTCGGAGGGATTTAGAAAGGGAAAGGGAAAAGGTGTGTGAAATTAGGTGAAATATAGGCATGTTTTATTCACATTTCACCTATCTTTTCCATTTCCCTTTCCAAATCCCTCCTCAAATCTCCCAACCAAACACAGCAATAGGGAGATTAGGTGGACAGACAAATAGGTGATGAAAAATGCTAAGGAGCACTAATTAGTGCTCCCACTAATTAGGTGGTAGTGAGTCCCGCCATTAATGATGTGATGTTTTGATCTTGGAGTTGTATTTTTTTTTATTTTTTTAATGCATTAGTGCTATTAGTGGTGATATTTTTAGTGGGATGAATCATTATTAAATAGGTGATAGATAAACTGTTGGAGAAAATACCAGAAACTAAACAATATTATTGATAAATGATGCAAAGAAAATGAGATACAAATAGATCAGGCTGAGGCACGGATATCTCGTTTTCTTTAAGGAGATCAAGCCCACTGCGGTAGGAAGAATCCAAATACCGATGCAGCAGTCACAATACTATGACTTGTCCCCTCCAGGATACAACAGCCCGACCACTTGTCGTATGGTTCAGGCCAACTCTGCACAAGATGGTGAACCCAAAGCTCCACTAATAAAACACCCTTCTTTGCTAGTAATCTCTCTTGTATAGAAAATAGCTTATCTCTATAGATAGAAAAGAGTAGACTATATATATAGGCTATAAGGACCTTACAGTTACACCAAAAATAATGACCATTAACCAAGTTCATAAATTCTATTAAACCTCTATTTATGACCAAGAGGTTACCAAAGTAATAAAACCCCATTTATGAAAAAGATAAATCAATAAATAAATATAAGATATTAAAATGGTCCAACAGATAGAAATAAAGATTTAGCGTCTGTAGTGATCAGTTCTATTCTTCTTTTGTTTCCTGTTATTGTGGGGATATTTTATAGGCTTGGTGCCATTCATCATGTCGAGTTAGGAAAGGGGTCAAACAATGCATATCAAGCTCCTCAACACCCTCCTTCATGTACGACATTGTCTTGCATGGGGAGATGAAAACATTCAAACATGCACAGAAACATAATTGAAATGGGGAAAAAAATGTAAACGAAGATATATACACCCAAGACATCTCCTACCCTGAGCTCATATACCATATTATAGCATCACTAATTCCAAAATGTTAAGTTGTTAGGAAAGGAACCCAACAATAACAGGGTATATATTGACTGCTAGTGTCCTATGGATCTCTTGATGGTTGCACAATAAATCGAGGTCATTTTTTTTTTTTTGTTGTAGTTTTAGCACGTGGAATCTTGTTGTAGATAATTTTCTTTTCTTCGCGAGTAAAATGAGCAATATTCAGACTGCTAGTTAATTTAGTGTCTTTTGCTCTCTTTTCAGTTAAGTTTATGAATAAAATTATCTACAAATTATTGCCTCATTCACTGGCCCAGGTTATGCTATAGGGAAGTTTGAAAGTAGCTAGAGGCAGGTCTGTAATGATAATGTTGTTAGGGAAAATCGATGATT